GTAATCCGACCGTCGATATATCGAGTAACATATTGGGCTAGCTAGCTATATCTAGTAATGTATCGTGTTAGCTAGCTATATCGCCCGATAGTAAATAACCTAATTCGAATTGCTAGCTAGCTATATCAGGTAGTATATTGAGTTAGCTAGCTGGATCGCCCGATAGTCGATATTTTTTTTCTGCTTGGGTGAGAGCTTTCCTCGCAGAACTATAATCTTGACAAAATATGACTGACTTATGCAAAAGTGGACTTTTACGTGGACAGGCCATGCAGCGGTCATCGATATCGTGCTCCGTTCTCATCTTGTAATAGATATTCTCTATCGTTGTCTACGATTTCGTATTTTTCCACTCTTGACTGTTGTGTTTCATTTTGTTCTCGACTTTATTACAAAAAATAACATCACTTTGTGGTAAAAAACAACAATTTTGCATAGATCATTGGATGCTAAGCAAAGAAAAAGAACACTGGAAGCTAACAAGAAAATCAAAATAAAAGGATTATGATAGTAACAATATTTAATGCTCATAGACCTCAGAGTGCAGTTTCAATCTAAAACAATAACGATAATATCAATTCTTATCAAATCAAGTAATGTTTTTGCGGACGATGACATCGCGCGATGATTACATCACGCATACAAGTAACGAGTGTGATTTGTTATTTCTATTCGCCGTAGTGCTTTGTGTATTTATAATCGTGACACTTTTTCATATGGCCATGGTGCCCATAATGTTTGGCAGCAGTTTCTTCGCTCACGGTTTGGTCCTTCAATCGCTGCTGCATGCCTTCTGCCATTCCGACGAGCATCCGAATCATGCCTTTCTCGTCATCCAAGTTCTCAACCGCTTTGAGGAGCGCGATTTGCTCATTAATGAGTGCAACAGCGTCAGTTCTCTTTCTTTCCGTTATTAGTTGAGCAATTCTGTCATCCATTTCTGCTGCAACTTGAACTGCATGTAAAGTTTTTACTCTGGGGTCGACTTGTTGGACGAGTGATTCATCATTTACAAACTTCACAGTCAGGGTACCGCTAACTATCGATGGCTCACTATTAACATTAGCAGGTTGGTTGTACTTTAATTGATAGTCAAGAACCTCAACTTCTGTACCCTCGGGGACGGTTCCAGAAACTGTAAAGTCGCACAGCAATACGCGAAGATTCTCGGCATGAAGGTCACCGATGTTCGCACCACATGCAACATTTTCATAACCCCATATTTTTGTTACGATTGTGTTATTACGGCCCCGTACAATTAGTTGAGCCTGTGTTCCACAAACGTCAAACACACTCTGGAGTGCTTTCATCATCAGGGATTCGATAACTTCTGCCGTTTCAAGAAAGAAGAATTGCCCATATCCAGCTTCAGCAATTCCCTTCATAATAGCAGCATCAAAGTCTTCACCAATACCAAACGAATCGATTATGATTCCTTGTTTGTTATAGTTTTTCACCATAAATCGTATCTCGTCTTGAGTTTTTAATCCAACATTGGCTAATCCATCGGACAACACAAACATACGGTTAGAATATTCCGGATATACATGTTTCGCCAGGAGATCGGCACCCGTTTTGATACCACCAGATAAGTTTGTCTGCCCACCAGTCTGAATCCCACTCACAACAGATGCAAGAGTTTCACGAGCTGATGCACGTGCATTTTCAAACACAGTCCAAACGTTATCATCGTATGCGACAAGATGAACAACATCGTTATCATGAAGTAAATTCAATGCGGAAATAACGGCCTTTTTTGCATACTCGAGTTTATTATTTGATGCCATTGAACCACTACGGTCGAGCACCAGGACTAGGTTAATTGGAACTCTTTTTGTTGTTTCAGCGTTTTCCACATTTTTCTTGGTTTCAATCTCTAAACGAGCTCGCTTTGTAGTCACTACGCCAGTGATCGCGTAATGATTGTCTGGAATACATTGAACGTTGACTGTATGCATCATATATTCTCTTTGCTTAACCAATAAGACTAAAAAGGAGAAAATGTTTTTGTCATGCGAGTCTTTAATTTTTAAAATTTAGTTTAAATCATCGAAGTGAGATAAGAGATTAAACTCTTTTTACATATCACATTTCTCTACAAGTTATAATAATCAAAAAAATTTATACTTAGAACTCATTTCAGAGAAAAATAATTAGTATCACAACAATAATTGTGTAGAATACTGTTTATAGGAGAGATATTCGTTTTTAGAACAATTTATTGTATGTGTTCTTCTCCTGGATTCGATCTTCCGACCTTTCATACGCTGTACTTCTTCGACTACCCATCTTCCCATTGCACTAAATTGTGCAAAAGGAAACTACAAGTTATGATGATACATTCGTATGAAGGCCGTACATTTATCTATATATTTAAATAGTCTTTTCAAGGGGTCACTCGCATGTTACTAACTATACAATACATAAATGTCGACCTTAACTATCTTCATTTGGTGCTTTATCGCTGGCAGCGCTAGTAAAAGTACCTGTCTTACACAGTCGTGCCGACGTTAATAAGGTCGACATTCATGTATTATATAGTTAGTAACATGCGAGTGACTCCTTGAAAAGACTATTTAAATATATAGATAAATGTACGGCCTTCATACGAATGTATCATTATAACTTGTAGTTTCCTTTTGCACAAT